GGACCAAACGGATTTCGTTGTTTAGTAGGATGTTCAACTGTTGCAGGTTCAGCATCTAATCAATTATGTTATCCATCCAGTTTAAGTTTCGATAGTTACGGTAATATGTTTGTTGCTGATAGATACAACAATCGAATTCAAAAATTTTATGTAACAAGTAATATTTATAGTAAGTAAAATAAAATCTTTTTTTTTTATTAAATTTAACACCTACGATAAAATCTAATTGAAAAGATTTATTTGAATTAACCAATTTTTGTTTCTTTTTTTGTGTAAGACATAGTAATGAAATTGATTCTAATTATATTAAACTATCTAAATACCATGAGATCTTTATAAGATCAAACATAAGATTAATATTTTTTAATAGAAAATATTTTATTTGATGAAGATGTTTGAAAAATAACATCAATGGCCTTTAATTTATTTTTATTTTTAGGTACAACTATCAATCAACCAAACTTATGTCCATCTACAACATGGTATACAAATGCAATTACATTTGCTAATAGTAGTACAATTGGAACTGTCGTATCTGGTTCTTTCGTTAGTATTAATAATACTGTCTATGTAGCTAATCAACAAACTAATACAGTTATAGTATGGTTCGAAGGAAGTATTAATCCAGATAAAATTCTTTCTGGTAGTCTGAATACACCATATGGTCTTTTCGTTACTCCTCTAGGTGATATATATGTTGATAATGGTCAAAATAATGGCCGAGTTGATAAATTTTCATTCAACTCAAATATAAGTAATTCTGCAATGTCAGTTCCTGGTGTATGTTATGGTATCTTTGTTGATGTTAGTAATAATCTTTATTGTTCAGCAATGTCTTCTCATCAAGTTGTTAAGAAATGGTTAGATGATAATGTACTTACATCAACTATTGTTGCTGGTACAGGTACAGCTGGATCAACAGCAACTACACTTAATTGCCCCTATGGAATTTTTGTCGATGCTGAAATTAATTTATATGTTGCAGATTTTTTTAACAATAGAATACAAATGTTTCCCGTTGGACAATTTACTGGAATAACTTTAGCAGGAGCTGGTGCACCAGGAACTATTACATTTTATGGTCCAGCTGGAATTATATTAGATGGTAATGGATATCTTTTTGTTACTGATTTTTATAATAATCGAGTAATCGGTTCGGGACCATATGGTTATCGATGTTTATTTGGATGTACAACAATACCTGGTTCTGCATCGAATCAATTATATTTTCCAG